AGATGCACTTGGGACCCCGGCGGCTGGAAGAATGAGCCTGTCCTTCTTCCTCCTCCTCCTCTCCAGCCACCTGATCCTCAGCGCCTGGGCTCACGGGGGAGAAGCGCCTCGCCCGCGCGGGGCAGCCGGGACCCGCCGCCGCCACCAGGAACCCGGGAGGCTCCGGCAGCAGAGCGAGCGGCAGCGGCGCCGCGCCGTCCTCCTCGGCCTCCTCAGCCCCCGCAGCCTCCGCGGGCAGCCACGCGAGCGGCTTGGAGCAGAGCAGCTTCCAGTGGAGCCCCTCGGGGCGCCGCACAGGCAGCCTCTATTGCAGGGTGGGCATCGGCTTCCATCTGCAGATCTACCCGGATGGCAAAGTCAACGGCTCCCACGAAGCCAGCACGTTAAGTAAGTCGCCCTCTCCGGTTCACGCGCCCTGTGCGGGCGGCCGGAGACTCGGGAGGGACCGTGGTGTCTCTGGGCCACCCGCGCGTCTTCTGAGCCGCGGTTGCCGGGACCCAGCCCCGAGCGCTGGGCGGAGACGCGTCTGCTTGGCGCGCGCACACGCACCCTCTCGTGGGCGCGGGGAACGGCCATTCCGCGGTTCAGGGTGCCTGGAGCTCCGCGCCCGGACGGGACCCTCGTTTCTAGTTTACCTGGCCTCCACTATGAGCCTCCAGCCTGCTGGAGAAAAAACAAGTCTCTCTCCTTCTCCCCTCTCAGTGTCTGCTTATCTTCTGCGTGTGAACCAGGCTGGCATGTGCACGAGGCATGAAGTGCAGCCCTCTCTGGCCAAAACGGGAGGTTATTTTGTTTTGTTTTTTAGAAGAATCAAATCTCAAATAGGCCTCCCCACACGTCGTGACCATAAGCCTCTAATTAACATTGCATTTATATGTATATGCACTTCGTATGTATATATGTGTATGCACACAGTGTACACACGAGTGTAGACCCACATACACCATAAACATAGAAGCTTACAGAGCAGGGGCCAGACTCCACCGCTTAGAAGAAGATTGTGACCTGCAAAGCTAGACACGTTAGAGGGGTAGACATGAGGGACACGGAAATTTTTTTTTTTGAATCTTACTCTGTCGCCCAGCCTGGAGTGCAGTGGCCGCTCCCGGCCACCACAGCCACGACCTGCTGGGCTCCGGCGATCCTTCCGCCTCAGCCTTCCGAGTAGCCAGAATTACAGGCATGTGCTACCACGCCCGGCTAATTTTTTTTTTATTTATTGTAGAGATGAGGTCTCGCCTGCCCAGTCGGGTCTCGAACCCGCGGGCTCAGGCAATCCACTCACCTCAGCCTCCCAAAGTCGCGGGATTACAGGCTGAACCACCGAGTCCGGCAATTATTAACTCCAGACTTGGGTTTAGCCACGCACAGTCCCCGGAGACTGTGACTACGCCTTGTTAGAAGAGTGACCGACTTCGGGTTCCAAGGGCAATTAGGTGGAAGTTCTTTATTTTAGGAGAAACACAGCAGAGGATGTTCAACTCGGTGTGGGTGCAGATTGTGCAGCACTTTTTAAATGCTGAGTTTAAATGGCCTGAGCTTTCTCTAGGGTGCTCTGTACTCCCTCCCCTCTCATCTCCTGGTCCCTCCTACGCGCCCATCTCGCTTCCAGAGCATCACTGCACCCCTCCGGTTCTCCTCTCTGCTTTGGGCAGCTAGGGGCAAAGACGACCCGGCGTTGAGGAGTACTGGGCGGTCTCTGCTGGGCTCTGCTCTGTAGGGCCAGATCGACCTTGCAGCGTGGCGGGTTCCCAGGTAGAGCCCAGCCAGTGCCGCTGAGACAAGGGAGATCGGAAACGGGCCAGAGCCCGCGCTGCCCACGGTCATCTACCCCCGACGTCAGCTGGCGGCTCCCAGGTGCCTCACTGACCGGTCGCAGGCACCGACTCCGCGGGCCCTCAGGCCCTTTACTCAGGCTTGGAAGGATGGGGGAGGCCCCGCTGGGGGACGATCCGGCGGTGGTCTCCGGCGCGCGGCTGGAGGCGCGCACGTCGGCGAGGTGGTCGGCTTGCAGGCCTCTTCCCGGGGCGAAGGGGCCTGGTGGGGAAGACCTGGTGTCTCCTGCCGGGCGGGGAGCAGGTCCGCGCCCGCCCTCGCGCCGGCTCGGTCTTCCTGGCTGCGCGTCCCAGCAGGCGGGTCGCGGGAGGTAGGGGCCCTGGAGCGCACACCCGAGAGAGGGGGTCCTGCACACACGCTGCGTCCTGGGGCCTCCGTACTTCCTGAGGGGAGCTTGTTTCCATGTCTTAGAGCCCATTTCATTTATTCAATAACTGCCCATCTTCGGTGATCAAAAACCAGGTCCCTGGGACAGGAGGATTCTGAGATTTGAGGACTTTGGAGAGTTGCCTCTATTTCAGCATTTTCATCCGTCCTTCTCACTTTGTCCCACCGACTCTTTAATTCATCAGACTTCAGAGCGTTCCCCACTTCTGCAGCCTCTCCTCTCTCTTACAGGAAACTTTATTCTCTTCTTGTAGTTCACCCAACAGCACCAACAAAGGATAACTCCTGTGTGCCCAAGGAAAGGTCCCACATAAGGAGGCAGCAAGCAGCAGGCTGGAGCCCAGGGGGCTCAAACAATGTCAAGGGTGGGTTTGGGTGGAGATCCTGAAAGCAACTCTCACCCCAAGACATTCACCCTCTTCTCCACAAAAAAGCTCTAAGAGACAACGATGTTTGCAGCTTAGGCCTTCCTAGAGGGAAAATGGTAGGAAGCACAGGAAGGAGAAATAATGCATGCTACTCAAGAAGACATCCACGATGAGCCAATATTTCCAAGGTGCATTTTATTTTAAACTCCATGTTGAAAGATATCTATAAGAGAACAGGGACATTCCTAAACAGTGCCTAAGTGACCTAAGTGACTTTTCTCTTATGTATGCCTGTTTACAACAGGCCTTTAGAGTGTCGTCTTTCACATGACTTTCCTTCACCTTCACATTCATTCATTCATGCACCCAATATGGGATAGTCATCTCACTAAGCATGATGTTTTGGTTACTTTTGAATTAGTTTTTTGTTTGTCTGCTTTCCATAGATTTGTTTTGTCTTTTTTCCACAGAGGAAAGCATAATTTAAATATTCACATCATAGTGATTTTCTGCTTTGTGATTAGTAGAATGTTTAATACTAAGTCATAAAATTTTTGCTACCATTAATCAATGAGGAATATATGGAATGTCATGTGTTTAATAGGATGGCATGTAATTTGGAAATTTAAAATGGATTTCTGCCCTTACCTTGCTGTGAAAAGAAATAGAAGTTTGCTAATTGCAATTGGTCATTTTCCTCTTTGAAGGCAGCACTTGACAGTTTCCTGACATTCCTGTAAACTAAGGTGTTGACCACTCACTGTTGCTTAGGGTAGATGAGGAAATATTTGTCTGACTCTCACAAGAGAGGCTAGAGAGCTGGATCAAGGACCATAGAGGACACATTGGTTTTACTTCATCATCTGAGTCTACTGTCTGTGAGTTAGTAATGACAGAAAACATACTCTTTTTGTTACAAGCCTACTGCTTCAGAAGAGTCAAAACTTTGCCATGACATTGCGTTCTAACAGGCTTCTTTTAGCCTAATAATATTCTATAATATCTGTTTGATAGAACAGACAAATAGTTATATATTTTATGGCTTTTATTTGACAGTATTTTTTTATTGGGAAATTGTGAATATTTCCCAGTTTCACCATCAGAAGTAAGCTCTGGCCATAGATTTTGAAACATAATTTGTGTAGTTTATGTGTACCAGTCAATATGTTCTTAGCTTTCCTTGTACAATGGTTATCTCAAGCTTTAAAGACAGAAAATGAAATCAAACTCATTGCATATAAACCCTTATTACAAGGAAATACCCTTATTACAAGGAAAGATGAAGAAACATGAACAAAATAAGGCAGATAATAAGACCCAACTACTGCATAGAAACAAAGGTTTCTATGCTTTATTTTATATGCTGTCAAGTTTAGTTTTGATACAGTGTTTCTATTGACTTATCATAAGCCACTGCAGAGCAGCTATCAGGTCATTGTCAATTTAAGGAGGGAAAACGTACGATTCTGGGTACACAAAGCCAAAGTACAACATCCCAATCACTTATTTTGGCTCATCGAACTATCAGTTTTATTGCTTTGTAAAAAATCTAAACTATCAATTTTGATATCATGTAGAGTCCCCCAAGCCTAGGTAAACCAGAATCTGTATCTACTGTAAAGAAAAAGTCAAGAAAATTTCTGTTACTAATTTAATCAGAGAAGACTGCTAAACTGGATATTTCAAGAATCAGGATTTGATAACTTGGCACAGCATATCTGTTACTTTGTGGATGCAAGTAGAGAAACTCCAGTTTTAAAATATTTTTTTCCTTAAGGATTTTCAGATAGGTTGTTGAAAGCCCCTGGATATATGGAATATCTGTTTTTCTATATTTTATTCACTAAAAGGAGGGAGAGAGAGATCCATGCAATTGTATCAACCACTATTAATAAAACCCTATTATATTTAAAAATCTGTAAATAACTAAGTCAAAAATCTATATATATACTATTGTTTTTTACTGAAATAAATTTATTTCATAGTGCATAACTATCTTTGTAGGTAAGTGGATTAAGCATTGTGTGTATAATGTGAGCGACACCAAGAAATTCTCACCTCCTTCAGCATAGATGTCAACCCTGAAATTCTACCAAGAGAAAATAATTCCTTCTGTTAAGCATTGTCCTCTTTCTTTGATCCTCTTAGATATGAACACCTTAAGAAAAATAACAGAGTGTCACTAGCACCTTAATGTGAATTAATGTATTCTGAGCCATCCTCCCTTCCCCTTCAAGCAAGAGTACCATAGTAACAGGAGAATGCCACCATAACAAGAGAATACTAAAACATGTATCCACACACGTGTGCACACAGGTATCCTGACAAGACAAAAGAGAGGTAGTGACAAGATGGAATATAACCACCCCATTCAGCAGTGATTGGCCTTCCACAAGTCTACTTAGGAATACTGTCTGGGCATCCGTAAGGTACATTGTAAGTTTCCATCAAACTTATAATCACTGACTCCTAATAACGAGGGCCAGGAAGTTACTGAATTTAAAAAAATCAATGTCAGAGAAGTGTTTTCCGGGATGTATAAATGTGTGACCCAAGGCACAAGGTTTTTAAAAAGTGTGTAGAATTCCTGAATGAGTTACTGAGATTTGTCTTAGTGAGAGCAATAGGCTTGTGATGTCTTGGAATAGGGGTGCAGGAAGTTGAATATTGAGACTTGTTGAATAGTTTCCAATATTCTAGAAAACAAGACATTGTGAAAGCACTGCTGACTTTACTTTGGAAATTATGATTTTAACAGTGTTGCCAGTATTAGACCATACTTGCATAAGATTTAGAAGGTCAATACCAAAGTTGTCTATGTGAAAAATAATTCTTTCATCTAATCTCATCTTTTAACTCTCCTGCATTTTTCATAATTTTAAATAGAATAATATATAAAGTATATTTCTAAGCTTTCAGTTAAACTAATTTTTTAAAGTTATAAAATCATTTCATTCTCAGGCAATGCATAATTCTTATCCTGGGACTGAAAAGAAAAAAATGCAATATGTAATGAAATAATAACACTTTCAAATACATTATTTTATCTTCCCCATATTTAAAATTCATTACAATGCAAATTGTACACAACAATTACAGACAGAATGTACATTGTATTGAGATCCATGTTAAATAAGTCAAAGTGAGTCTTTCTTAAAAAATAGACTTTGTTAGTTGTCAGAAACTTATAGGTTATTTGGGCAAAGAAGTAGTATTTTCATTGAAAAAATATCTATAAAATTCTTTTATCTCAATGTCTTAAGAGTTAGCATGCGAGTGCGTATACTTATAATAGTTTTATCTTTTATACTACTGTGCATGTTTTTATTAGTATACCATAGATTTGTATTTACAAAGCCAGATGATTTTCCACAAAATAGAATAAGAAACCTCCAACAATCGAGAACCATGAGTAAACTGGGGGAAACCCAACCAAGTCTCCTTCTCTGCCAGCTCCATATTGTCTCTTTTGTATCCTCATTACACACACATACAATTTCTCATGTTCCCATTTTCACATGTTTACACAGTGTTCACAGTCACATCAGCTCCCAAATATCTAAAAGCATTCATGCTACTCTCAGAATCATTCTGTAATTCTGGTAGAAATGCAACTTTTTATCAGATAGTCTGGTCATTGTTTAGTGATATTACAGAGGGTACCCAAAATGTATACACATTTTAAGAAAGGAAAAAAACTATTAAAATTGTAATACTCAGTAAGATTAATACAAGTTACATTTAACTTCTGCAATTACAAGAGGTTCTCAAAGTGGTGACCATTAGTGTCCAGACATTTCTGATCAAGGTGAACATCTCTTAACATCCCTTAAAATGTGTATACATTTTTTTGTTACCCCTGGTAGTATTGTACCATCTTGCATCGGTGTAGTGTATTTCACTTTATAAAGCATTGGCTGTGCTTTGTTACTGTTTGTTAAAATGATAATGTTTCCAAACCTTTGAGTGTGTATCACAGTCAAATAGCTATTATAGTAAAATCTATGATAGATAGTATTTTGAAAATATTTTCAAGGAAAGGATTTATGAGACACCAACTTCTTTGGCAGTTTTTTCCTAAAAGCAAATGTTGTTTCTAACAGTTTTTAGTTTGGGCTTTTCAATTTAAAGAAACATCCATCAATAAATTGGTAGCTGCATTTTCTCTGTTATGCATTTTATTTACTCTAGGATAAGCAATTTTATTTTAAAAAATTGTTCGGTTATTCCCTTTTTCTCATAAACTTTTTTTTTTTTTTTTTTGAGTTGGAGTC